GGATAAAAACAAATCTGAGATATTTTGAAGATATTTTTGGGAAAAGGACAAAAGTGGTTGGTAGGGTGGTACAACTGGATAAAGTCAATCATTTGGATAAGGACAAGAATGTTCGATCAATCGTAGAAGGAAGTTGGATCGATCAAACTTTTGAGATCTTTGAATAGGGACGAACATGGCTCAGATCCATTTTGAAGTACTGAGATCGATGAAAGTGGGATCGATCAAACTTTTCTTGAGATCGATCGAAGTTGCTGAAATTCCACCATTTGTTTCCTTTTTGCTCTACTTTGCTCCTTTCTTTGATTCATCCCAGAATTGCTTCAATTATGCTCTTATTTGGCTGAGTTAGCTTGTTTTGGGGATAAGTACCTAAAAATATAAATAACTCGAAATCAATACAAAATGGTAAAATAAGATAGATAAAGGTTCTAGAATACCTAAGCTTAAGGGTTTTAAATACGCACTTTTCAGCGCTTATCAGGTCCTGTACCGAAACGTGTTCATGGCCAGCCATAAGATCCAGAGGCGCGACGATTATTTGACTGCCCTATATGCTTTCTACACAGGGTGCTGGGTTTCTATTTCAGCCTTATACTGGACCGTGATGATGAAGCTCTATGCAGACTACATCTGCAAGGCCAAGCCCAAGCGTGCTAAGTATCTTCCATTTGGCCATCTTATCACTCAGATCCTCCGAGATCAGTGTTATCCATTCCATCCCGAATAGCGCTCAGAGATAAGAGCTTGCCATTTTGGCAAGAAGGACTGGAATAAGAGCTACAATGCTCTTATCAAAAGTCTTTTAGAGGACACAGTGATAGCAGCAGAGGAGGCTGAGGAGGAAGAGATAGCAGCAGCAGCAGCAGACGACCCAGCAGTTGATCTGGCTTCCATACATATGGAGATAGACTTAGAGTAGGAGCCTCCAGTAGAGGAGATCCCACATCACTCTCCAGTGGGGTCACTATTACATTTCCCGGGACAGGCTCAGGACGGACATTATTTTCTTGATCCAGTCATACCTGAGGCTCCAGCACCGACACCCGGCTTTGGAGAGCGTATCTAGCCCTTGGAGGACGCAGTTGTCTCTCTTCGGTCAGATGTGGCATCTCTCCGCTCCGATATCTTAGCTACGCTACAGGGCATATCCAGAGATATCAGGGGACCATGCCCTACTCACCCTACTTAATCTGCCTGATCTCTATCCCTCTCTTTTATCATGTTATATATCTGTGATACATTCCTACTATTTTGATACTGTTATATTATTTTTATAGCTAGTTTGTTGCCCAGACATTGTGATGTACATTATTTTTATTTTTTCTATAAATGCTATATTTTGGATGTCATATCTTTGTATTGATATATCTGTCTGTGATTGACTCTATCAGGTGCATCCAAGTGATTTCAGTGAGAGAGTGTCCTGCCCAAATTTTCAGGACCACCCTTTTTCCTCTCTCTTTACTTCAATTCTTATCTCATTTACACTTGCATGTTCACTGCGCACTATTATCATCCCTTTTGTTATCTAATAAGTTTTATCCAAGTGCCATCTTTTCAGGACCACAATTAATCCCAAGTTTAGGGAGGTTATACCACCCACTTTAGATACTTGTGTCTCGGCCATTCTTTGCCATAACTACACTGGTGTACTCTTTCCTTTGTTCTCTTTACACATTGAGGACATTGTGCCATTTAAGTTTGGGGGTGGTAATGGTGCTAATTGCAATATTTGTTTTCAATTTAAAGTTTAAGCATGACTTGTGTATTTGAGGGATTGTCTATGATTGGTCCACAACTAGCTATGATTTTGATCTTTTGAGAACTATATTGCTTAGAATTTAAAAATTGCTTGACTTGAGAGTCCAATACTCCTTGTATGCCTTGTGGATGCCATTTAGGAGTAAATTTTTCAAAAGATTGATATCATGTTTGCACTCACATCATCCTGATTTTGTGATTGTTTTGAGATTCACTCTAGTATTCTATACTAGCACAGGCGCACACTAGCATTCATTTGTGGGGTATATGCTTTGTTGATTATTGAATTGGTTATATCCCAATTGAGCTAGTAGTGCATTGAAAGCTTTCATTTTGATAAAAGTGGATAACAAACCCTTTTCATTAAGTAGCCGGGATTCTAGCCTCATCAAGTACTGAATTTCTAAAAGATGGAAGACCCAAACTCTATGTTAATAATTGAACTTCAAAAAAAAAAAAAAAAAAAGTTGTAAAAGCAATAAAAAAGTGAGGACTTCTCCCAAAAGGTGAGAAGTGGGAAATGATTAGATGGAGGTTATTTTGATTTGTAGCCTAGTTGATTTGAGCTTGTCCCTAAAGCCGTCCGGTTTGGGAGTCATTGACCTAAAGCTCGACCTCATGGATCGCTAGAAAGCTTAATAGATCAACACATTGCACCATGCTTCCATCTTTGATCCTTAGGATTAAAAAAATAAAAATAAAATCGAGTGAGAAGAATAAGCGCACCTAGAACAATAAAGCTTTAATAAAAGATCCACTCTTTGTCTTGATGATCGGTACTAGATTTGTATGCTAATTTGAGGGTAAGGATGTGATCATTTTTTTAGTTGGCTTAGATAGCAACATATTTAATGCCGGTCCACTCAAAAAGGATTCCAGTGTTGTTTTGATTTGTATGATCATTTTCTTGATGTGTGGAGGACCATACTTATTTGTTTGATGTTGAAATTTTGGGAGATTGCTTGGAAATGGTTGAAAAATTACGTACTTGAGGTAGTTTCTCCTAATGCTTGTTTGCAATATTGATGTCTCTTTTCTGAGAATGAGTTTAATGTTTGTTGGTATCATTTCTGAAAACCCTCACGAAACTTCACTCGTTCACTAAGGGTAACCTAAGGGTTTAAAAGGCTTGTTGCATATGCTAAATCCAATCGTGTTCCCTACGAAAGTGGCATTATCCATTTATTGCTTTCTAGTTCATATTTGAATAGTTGTTCATTTCATTCCTTTACTTTGTAGTCCATTGCTAGAGACTAGCAATACTTAAGTTTGGAGGTGTGATGAGCGCTGAAAAGTGTTCATTTAAACCCCTTAAGCTTAGATATTCTAGGACCTTTATCTATCTTACTTTCCCGTTTTAGGCTAATTTCGTGTTATTACCCTTTTTAGGTACTTATCCCCAAAATAAGTTAATTCAGCCAAATAAGAGCTTAAAAGAAGTTAACTTAAGCTGGATGGAAGAAAGGAGAAAAGTGAAAGCAGATTGAAGCAAAGTATGAAAATCAACATGTTCGATCGATCTCAAAAATACTTCGATCGATCGAAAGTTCATCGATCTAGACTCTCCAAGATGGATCCAAGCCCTATTGTCCTTATCCAAAGATCCCACAAAGTTCGATCGATCTAACAATTCTCAGATCAATCGAAAAGATTCCATCTTATCCTGTTGTACCACCCTACCTACCACTTTTGTCTCTTTCCCCAAAATATCTCAGATCTATCCGTATCCAAAAAGGCGCCGCCATGGGAGGATTGATCCAGCCAAAGTTTGATAGATCTCAGCCATGTTCGATCGATCACAGCACAGGTTCGATCGATCGAACCCTCTCAAATGCGAAAAAAAAAAAAATATTTTTTCAGCTCATTAAAAGTTATCTCATTGTGCAATCATTGGAGGAGCACTTGTGTGACATTTGAGCTACATATATAAGGAATATGAGCTACTTTTACATAGAGTTTTTTGGATAGTCTTTGATATATTTTTTAGAGAGATACAATTCTTAGAGAGGAAGAAAAGAGAAAAAGAGGCTAGAGACACATTCTTGGGAGGTTTTCCATCTTCCTCAAGAAGAAGAGCACTTCTACCATGGAGATAGCCCTTAAGGGTTGGAGTACACCATTCATGAGTGGCTAGATATCCTCTTGGGGCTAAAGTTAGCCCTAAGCATGCTTTCTTTACCTTGATTTATGTATTTTTTAGGAGATTTGTGTTGTAATACATGTTTTGACATATGTATATACATAGATCTTGTTTATTCAATGATTTGTGTGGTTTAATTCTTCCAATTGATCATTTCATTATATCCATATGTCTATGTATGCGAGAATAGATGTTCATGTGTTTTTCTCTATCTCTTGTGTTGTTGATGCATGTCTATGTGTGTTGATGTTATAGATCTAGAGATTATCAAGACATAGTGATTAATAGAATGCTCTTGTATTTTATTTGATGGTTCATACTCATTTCTTGATGGATTGTACCTCTCTCTTAGTTTAATTAGTTTAATTTCCATATCATTAGCTTAGATGTAGTGTAGTTACCTTAATTGTTAAATGGAAGGACAATTCATGTTTGTTGTTTAATGTTCCATACTTATGAATGCAAGTAGTATATTTCTCTAATCATATGATGTGTTTAGATTGTGAGCTTAAAGAATGATTAATGACTTAGTTTGATATATTGTGCTATTCATTGTGTTGTTTAGACAATATATACTTAATTAGTCATACATGCTTGTTAAAACAACCACACACACTCACTATTGTTGTAACATATGTTTTACCCCCTCATTAATTGTGAATTGAGTGTAGAGAAAGGTGATGTTTAGTAGTGATCTTTAAGTCCCAAGACCTCTCTCTCTTGTTTACTCTATCCTTTAATTACTTGTTTTACATTGAGCTTGCTTAATCTCAATTGTAGTTTAATCAACCAAACAATCTACCTTTGATCACTCAACCTACTAACCCTAAGCATTGTTTCCATTACTAGTAGCCCTCTAATCCCTTGGGACGATCCCTACTCACTCTTGCTACGTTAGTAGTAGTGGTAGTAGTGGTTTTTATAAATTTAAACTTGACCCAAAAAGGCTTTTCTTGAACCTACATTCACTATATTAGTTTGGCATATAGGAATAGGCCTCGACACCGTCACAGGCCGCTCCGTGCCGCTCTTACTTTTGCGCTCTGCGCGCGCTTTCGCTGTTATTCCCTCTTCCTTGACTTAAATTTTTACCGCTTTCGCGCTCCTAGTACTCTTGCTTCCGTTTTATGATATCACCTCTACTCTTTGGAGTGAAAGAAAGAAAGCACTAATCTCCTCGACAGCATTGCAGGTGGTGAGTTCTTTGTTAGAACAAAAAATAATAATAAAAAAAAAATGACAAACAAAAAATAAATAAATAATGAACTATAATTCCAAAGTTGGAAGCACGTCATAATTCAATGCCTCTTCAAATTGGTAATTCAAAATACTAGCAATTGTAAGACAACCCATTTGATTGGATCCACCAACTCTGTATTTCTGAGACTTTCTGATTAATGCTACCAGTTTCAACTTTTAATGCTACCATTGATTTAAACTGGTCCCACAAGAATTTAGATGCACCTGAAAATAGTAGATGCTGATTGGTCAGAAACAGAAAATGGAAACTATAACCAATGAATTATTGAGAAAGGAACAAAAAAAAAAATATATATATATATATATATACTATTATTAAAAGTAGAAAGAGTTTCAGTATATTAATGTGTTTCAGTACCATATTTTTTAATTACAAATTTAATTAGATAAGAAAATATGTAAAGAAAATAAATAATTTAGTCTGTCTAATGACAAGAAAATATATAAAGAAAATAAATAATTTACCCTCTCTAATTAGACAGGAAAATATATAAAAGAAACATATAAGTCTTAATAGAGTTTGTAAAAGAGATTTTATAAAACTCTAAATCAAATAACTTATTTATTATGAATTTTTAATTTGTTTAATTAATATAAGGGGTTTAGAAGAGTTTCTATAAAACTTAAATGATTTTTTTTTTTTTTTTTTTGTTAAAAAAAAAAAGTTTCTATAAAACTCTATCACAAATTACCTAATTAAAAAAGAAACACTTTAATATATAATATTTAATATATTTTCTTGTCTTTCTAATTAGACAAGGAAATATATAAAGAAAATAAATAATTTAGTTTTTCAATTTAATATATTTTCTTGTCTTTCTAATTACACAAGAAAATATAAAAAGAAAATATATAAAGAAAATAAATAATTTACTCTTTCTAATTAGACAAGAAAATATATAAAAAAAAAATATAAAAACACTTTAATATATAATATTTAATATATTTTCAAATCTTAAAGTTATATAAAACTCTAGAACAAATTACCTAATTAAAAGAAAAACCTAATTAGAAAAGGAAATATTTTAATATATAAAATTTAATTATATAAAAGGAAAGGTGATTTGAGAAGGGAATATTTAATATTAAAATATTAAAAAAAAAAAATACTTATGTCCTTAATAGTGAGGATGTATATTGCTCTCACTGTTGATGTGGACCAATAATAAATAGATGATGTATATATGCAATGAAAAAAAAATATGTTCATTTTTTTATTGGTCCACATCCTTAAAAAAAATTTATTTGCCACATGGAGAAACGTAATTCCTTTTCTAACTTTCAATTTAACACGAATTCTACTTATAAATAAATTCTTAAACAACTAAAATTTGCCGTCCTATTTCCCCTAAAACCAAATCCCTCCTATCTTGTGTATAAATTTTAATTTTTCAATATATGTTCTCCTATACTGTGTGTAGATTTTAATTTTTCAATGTCTGTTCCTTGTATAAATTTTGTAGTTTTAATGTTAAAAGAATTTACTCTCTGATAGTCTTATATACTTTATTAACCTTTCTTATCTATCAATATTTCTATGTGTTCATTGTCTAGATTTTGCAATTGTAATGCTAAAAAAAAATTATTATTAATCATGCAGCTCATGTAAAAACGATTCTCACCCTACAATCACAACAGTACAATGATACACTATATAAAAACTCAAGTTATATTAATAATTCACCTATAAATATATATTTGTTTAAGCACGAGTTTTTTATTGTTTTTTTTTTTTTTTTATATTGAACGAGGTGAAGTTGGTAATCTTCACCGAGCTAAGTAGCAATAATTATGAAAATCTTATTAAATCATTGTAGTGTTTTATTTTATTTTAAATCATTATAGTGTTTTATTTTTAATTAGAGAAGAAAATATATAGATATAGATAAATCTAATTAGAGAAAGAATTTTATAATATTAAAAAAATTAAACTACTAAAATTCAATCAAAGAAAATCTAATTCAATAAGAAATTTAAAATATTAAAAAATTATTTATTTAATTCAATAAAGGAAAATATAATTAGAGAATAAAATACTAATAATAATATAGCAGTAGGAGATACTAAAATTCAATAAATAAAAATCAAATTAAAAAATAAAATATAAGTATTATATGATTTATTTAATAATATAGTAGTAGAAAATACTACTAATAATAATATTAGTAGTAGGAAATCTAATTACATAAGAACATATAAAAAATTTTAAAACGGAATTACTAAAATTCAATAAAAAGAATATTAATTAGAGAAGTAAAATATTAATATAGTAAAATATTAAAAAAATTATTTATTTAATTCAATAAAAGGAAATCTAATTAGAGGAGAATAATAATATAGTAGTATGAAATATTGAAATTCAGTAAAACGAAATCTAATTAGGGTAAAAAATATATAATTTATTTTAATAAATACATAACAACAATTCTATATCAAAATATACTAATAAATTTAAACTAAGAATTCTATACACAAAATTATTTTTATATTTAACTTTTTATTTATAGTTCATTTTAAATTGTTATAATATTTTTATTTCAAAAAATAATATGTTTTAGTACTATTATTTATGTATAATATATAATAATGCAAAATCATTCTTCTAGAATATAAATTTTTTATCATTCTGAGTTTCAGTACATTAATGTGTTTCAGTGCATTAATTTGTTTCTGTACATTAATTTTTAATAATAAATTTATATGTTCCGTATGTATGTTTCCTTTTAGAATAACACAAATTACCTATCTTTTATCTGTTTTTATTTTAAAATTAATATAAGGTGTTTAGAAGATAAGTTTTCTATACAACTCAAATTACTTATTTTTTATGATTTTTTTTTTAATAATAGGAAATCTAATTAGATAAGGAAATATATATATAGAAAATAAATAATTTAGTCTTTCTAATTATACAAGGAACTATATAAAAAAATATGAATAATTTAGTCTATTTATAAAACTTAAATTACCTATTTATTATGAGTTTTTTAAATAAAAGTAAATCTACTTAGTTAAGGAAATATATAAAGAAAATAAATAATTTAGTCTTTCTAATTAGACAAGGAAATATATATATAAAAATATAAATAATTTAGTCTATTTAGTCTCCACATCTTTTCTAATTTTATTAATTATATATAAATAATTTTCTAATATATAAATGAATAGATATCTATTTTTATTTTAATATTAATATAAGGTGTTTAGAAGAGTTTCTATAAAACTCATATTACCTATTTATTATGAGTTTTTTTAAATAAAAGGAAATCTAATTAGATAAGGAAATATATAAAGAAAATAAATAATTTAGTCTTTCTAATTAGATAAGAACATATATAAGGAAAAATAATAATTTAGTCTTTCTAATTAGACAAGGAAATATATAAAAACTATAAATAATTTAGTCTATATAGTCTCCACATATTTTCTAATTTTATAAATAATATATAAATAATTTTATAATATATAAATAAATAAAATATTTGTAAATTGTAATAAAATATAGTTTTGATTTTGATATTATTTTAGGAGTTTGAAAATACATCTATCAATAATTGAATTCCTATTGTAAAGTTTAATTAAAAATTATATTTTATTTTACCTTGTGTCAATTTTATGTTAATGGATATTTTAGAATTTATAATTATTCAATTACTTTATTAAATATTGATTTTAGATTAAATTTTACTCACACGCAATAATATATTATTTTTTAATAATAAATTTATATGTTTGGTATGTAGGTTTTCTTTTAGAATAACACAAATTACCTATTTATTATGAGTTTTTTTTTTTTAATAAAAAGAAATCTAATTAGGTAAGGAAATATATATAGAAAATAAATAATTTAGTTTTTCTAGTTAGACAAGAAAATATATAAAGGAACTGTATAAAAAAATTTAAATAATTTAGTCTATTTAGTCTTCATATCTTTTCTAATTTTATAAATAATATATAAATGAGTAAAATATTAGTAAATTGTAATAAAAATAGTCTTGATTTTGATATTGTTTTAGGAGTTTGAAAATGCACCTATCAATAATTGAAGTCCTATTTAGGGATGGCAACGTGGCGGGTTTGGAACGGGTTTCCCTAAATCCTGCTCCGCCCCTTTAAATTTTTGTTAAGTCTATGCCCGCCCTGAGACCCGCGACGGGTTGGATTTTCATGTCCAACCCAGCCCCGTTGGGAAATACTATGTCCAGGTACCCGCCCCGCTAACAAATTTTTTTTTTTTTTTTCCCACTTTTTGGAACTTAAGCTCCTGTTATGTAAATGTGGAAAGTTTGGGAATGTCACAACATAAATGAAATTATGTATCCTAACAAAAATAAAATAAAAAAATAACATGCATATAACATAATTCAGAGAACATAATAAACAAAAATAAAAATTTAATATAACCAAATTACAAGAAATTCTAAGCTCTAACTTGCACAATAACCAAAATAAAAGCAAATTTAATACTAAATTTACATCCTAAATTAGGATTGTAAGATATGGATAACTAGGTAAACCGCTAAAATAAGTTATATATATATATATATATATTAAATATAGTTATATGCTTAGCGGGGCGGGGCGAGGCCCCTAGGATATGTATATTGAACCCTTACCTGCCCCGTGACCTGCGACGGGTATAAAATTTATATCTATGCCCGCCTAACGGTATAAAAAGTGTTCCTATATCCGTTATTAACGGGGCGAGACAGAACGGAGCCCTGGTGGGGCGGTAAAAATTGACATCCCTAGTCCTATTGTAAAGTTCAATTTAAAATTATATATTTCTGTCAATTTTATGTTTTAAATTTTATAATTATTTAATTAATATTTTAAATATTAATTTAAAGTGCAACTCTCGTACAGTTTTACTGTTTTACTTGTTTATATATAATTACTGTTTTACTAGTATATATATATAAGTCTGAGAAAGAGCCTTTAAAGTATTTTAAAATCTCGGTTTCATCTCCACCACAACCATCAAAGGCACCACTGCAATTGCCACCATTAGTGATAGCATCACTATTTTGAATTTGTTTCATCCATTACATTTTTTCCCCATAAAAATGAAAAATATTAAATTTTACTGGCCACTTGCTATACGGATCATCATCAAACCGACCTCTCTTTAAATCATATGAACCTTAAGGTACATAAAGTTCCAAATGGTCTAGTGCTTTTATTCTAATCCGAACACTTCTGCATCTTTTATTTTTGTGGGCTGGAATACCCAAATGAGAATTGTTATAAATTGAAAACCAATATCAAGGTTATGTAAGATATACATGAAAGAATAATATAAAAAATATAACTGATTTAATGAAATTATATATACGTATATAACACACGGTGGCAGAGTCAGAGGGGTAGACAATGTTGAAAAATGAGAATGTATGTAATAGAAAAACCAAAATAATATAAGCAAAAACTTAAATATTGATAGATAATAAATTACAAATACATTTATAATTTTCTAGAAATTGTATCTCCTTACAACAATATATTAAGGAAATTCTACTCTCGTTTTTTCCGCTTTTTTTTTTAAGGAAATTTCAATTATGCAAAAGGATCAACAATCGGTGAAGAGGGATTAGGATTTCTTGTGCATTAGTTTAGGGTCAATAATTTGACTAAAAGCTACAAAAAGATGAACTTACTTTGAATTGTGGAGAGAGATTTGTAGATGCTTTTCGAAACAATTTGAAACGAAAAAAAAAAAAAAAAAAATGACAAAGAATTCACATCCTACAAACAAATTGGACATCTTGAGAAGATATTCAATAATTCGAGTATATAATTACTATGCTCTTCAATCAAAATACACTATTCAATTAAATAGATCACACTCTAAGTATTTAAATTTATCTCAACTAACTGAATTGTTATATTTTAATTGGTCAAACATAACTTATCCAATATACATCTACTCAACCCAAACAAAATTACTAGACGTCGAAGGAAAAAAAAAAAAAAAAACGTAAAGAAAAAGAAAAGGCAATAGTCGGTACCTTATTTACTGATTTAGTGGAATATGGTAATCGTGGTTTCGCCCTTTTTAACTTATTTCTTCATCATTATTATCCACCACCACTAGTCCCTGAATTAAACAGAAGGTGAACGAATTAAATGAAAAGCATTAGCTAAGTGATGTCTTGTAATAAGGACAAAGGCACGTGTATGTAGTTACCTTTCCTTTCCGAGATTGCTGCACATGATTATTAAGGTCACCTACACGACTTGACCTAAAATTTATGCTTATTTGTGCATCCAGTGTGCTTATGTATCCAAATGTGAAAGTTTTCAATTCCGGACACTCGTGTATTTTAACGGTTGTCTAGGATGGGAATTTAAAAGTATTGTTTGCTTGACAAAAACATGTAAGGTTATGTAAGATATTCATGAAATAATAAAATAAAATATAACTGATTTAATGAAATTATATATACTTATATAATACACGGTGGCAGAGTCAGAGGGGTAGACAATGTTGAAAAATGAGAATGTATATAATAGAAAAACTTATCCAAAATAATATAAATTAAATGAAAAGTATTAACCAAGTGATGTCTTCTGCTAAGGACAAAAGCAAATGTACGTAGTTACCTTTCCTTTCAGAAATTGTTGCATACGATTATTAAGGTCACTTACACGACTTGACTTCCAATTTCTGGATACTTTTATATCCGGTATGCTTAAGTATCCAGATGTGAAAGTCTTCAATTTCCGACAGTATTTTATATCAACATGGATCAAGGATGGGAATTTAAAAGCATTGTTTGCCTGACAAAAACATGTGAGGTTTGGTAGACATGAAAGCCACAGATACCGTAGCTGAGAGAACACAATTTCATCGGTGGCATCTTGTTCTTCATTTTTAAGTATTTCTTCCATCACATCACAATATTCAATTCTTAGATCCCTGAGTTGTGTGAGACTTCTTGTTATTGAGAGTAAGAATAGATACGTCAGCCTGTTGCATCTTTCAACTGTCAAAGATGTTAGGCTGTGAAACACCCGCAGTCGTTCAAGGTTGAAGATAACCTCCAATGAGTAACAAGATTGTAGAGTGAGCATTTGGATATTCTCAAACCGCTGTAGCAGCTGGGTAGAAACATTTACTAAGTTGCTGCAGTTGCGCACCTCCAGGGATCTTATTACTTTGCAAAAGGGAAGGACATGGCAAGTATCTTCTGTGATGCTCTCATCACTCAGTATTAATCTATCCAAGATAGGAAATTCAACCTGCACGCAGAAATCACTCACCGTATTTAGCTCCACAATATTCTGATTAACAAAATAAAGCAAACCAAGCAATAATATGTATGAAATCTAAAAGTGTAATTGGAATATCTAATACCACACATCAAAACATAGATTCTCTAGACTATCAACTAGAAATCTAAAAGTGTGAAATCAATTAAATATAACAATTTAATATGTATGTACTTAACAACATCAAATCGCCAATAGTCAAACCAACAAGTCACAATATAAACATAATTGATAATTTGGAATTGAATGCGAAAACAAATAGTGGAAGACTTGGATATCACGCTCGGAATTCTGCCGAGACCTCAATGGTTATTCCAGGCACTAACCCGTAGGGAAGACCACCCTAAGTGCGCACTATCTCAATTAGGGAGAACTCATACCTCCCGCACTAGAGTCACACTCTAGCCATGTCACATGTAACAACAATGTCCTAAGAGGATCCAAAATATACCAAATAAGTTCACAACCTATACATATTATTACTACATAGTAACAAGTTAGCAATATAACTCTCAATTGTGCATAATAAACATTTCATATTCATAATGCTATGAAATCACAAGTCAACAATATATTCATATTAGAAACATATTCTTATGAATATAAATTTAACAACAACGCTTTTCAATGATTAAAACATAATCAAGTGAATACACCACAAGTCTAAATCCATGATCTTAAAGTAGAAGCAACTCCTAAAACTTGATTAAATCCATGGATAAACAAGATAGAATTTAATTACATCAAAATAATCAAACTCTCTAGATTTCAAATCATTTTCAAATGGTCTCAATTTAATATATGTTAAAAGACATATCATGGTCATCACATATATTCACACAAACGCTTAATTAAGCCCATGAAACCACAAAATAGATTTTAATTAATTCTCCTAATTAAAGTCTCTAAATTTTCAAACTCAACCAAATGCTCTCAAATTAAAGTATGTTCACTAACATACCAAAACTTAATTTAGAAGCATAACACATATCCATTTCATGTAAAGTATGGCCATGGGAATTAATCTTTCACAAAGAAAAATATTAAATAAAAGATGCAACTTTTATTCAAATAATTCCAATTAAATATATGTTAATAAAAATATTAAAACTAAGCTTTCTAGCATGCCACAATTCAAATCCAAGTTATACCTTATCATGAAAATTTAATCTTATACAAAGAATTAAATATTACTAACTTTCTAGATTTGATACAAGGCATACGTATAGATTGTATAATCATGAGAAATACATAATACAACACACAAATAATCCTAAAACATTCCCTACCTCCATTTGAGATGAAATCTCAAATCCCCACCAAAATGAATGTGCTCTGAATCCGACGAAACTTCTAGGTTTTGTCGGGGACAACACTGTGAACATAACCCCCAAGGAAGCCCTATCAAATTCACAACTTGAATCCAAACTCGAACTCAAGAAATGGCCAAAACTGAATTCTAATAAGGGGGAATGGTAGAGCACGTCGAGAGGAATAATAAACGTTAAGGCCGAAGACTTTTCATCAAGGAAAAGTGAACCAAAAGAGAAGAGAGAAGATGGCAGCCATGGCTGCCATGGATTCCGGCCAGAAGAGAGGAGAGAGAGAGAAAACTAAGATATTTTCTTCTCACACCCTATTTATTGAAAAACCCTAAAAGTGCCCCGAACGGGCTCCTCCGGATCCGGAAAAGTCAAATTTGCATAGACGCGCTCAAACGGCAAAACTCCGTGAACAAAAAAGATTCATAATGAGAAAATATGAATAACGGAAGAAACGACGTCGAAAATCGAGTTCCAAGTAGAAAGTTATGCCCTAAACAAGTTTGGCGCAAACTAGGGCCAAAAATCATGAAACTGGAAAATATCGACCAGAAGGGAATTCTAAGAGTCCACGACTCGACGAAAAGTGAAAATGAATCCCATACGAGAATCCAGGCTCAAAATAAGACATTTAGCAATAACTTTCATTAATTGCACAATAGCCCCTCCAAAAAGTGAAAACTCCACTAATGGCCCATAATGAAAATATCTTCCAAAAAATATTTTCTTAAAAACTCCTGAAATAAAATATCTTCAAAAGATATTTACGAAAAACACCCCAAGAAAGGAAAAAGTTCCCAAAGAACTTTGCATTCATACCCCTATGAACACCGGGAGTAACCAGAATACTTTCTTGCGAAAGTAAAAATACGTACTTCATGAAAACCATTCAAGATGAACGTACGTGAAATCAAAAACCAACTCCGGACACAAGAAGTGTGGTTACGCCAACAAAGTGACAAACGGAGAAAAGACAAAATAGGGAAAAAGACGAAATAAGGAAAGGACGAAAAATGAATAGGGTCCAAAAAGTGAAAATATGGAAATGACTCGGTTCTCAAAGGTAATTGTCAATCCAAAGAAAAGAGTCTCAGAAATCATTTCAGAGCACTCGAGATGACACTAATCGACAAGAAACCAAACTCAGAAGGGAAAAGATAACGGAAAAAAAATTTCCGAAAAATCCGGGTCATTACAGAAATATATAATTAAAAAAAAAAAAAAAAATCAAACTACTAAAATTCAATCAAAGAAAATCTAATTCAATAAGAATTTTAAAATATTAAAAAAAAATTATTTATTTAATTCAATAAAGAAAAATCTAATTAGAGAATAAAATAATCATAATAATATAGTAGTAGGAAATACTAAAATTCAATAAATAAAAATCTAATTATAAAATAAAATATAAGTATTATATGATTTTTTTAATAATATAGTAGTAGAAAATACTAATAATAATATTAGTAGTAGGAAATCTAATTACATAAGAAAATATAAAATAATTTAATACTGAATTACTAAAATTCAATAAAAAGAATGTTAATTAGACAAGAAAAATATATAATATTAAATAAATTATTATTTTAATTCAATAAAAGGAAATCTTATTAGAGGAGAAATACTAATAATAATAATATAGTAGTATGAAATATAGAAATTCCGTAAAACGAAATCTAATTAGGGAAATAAATATATAATTTATTTCAATAAATACATAACAACAATTCTATATCAAAATTTACCCATAAAACTTTAAACTAAGAATTCTATATACAAAATTATTTTTATATTTAATTTTTTATTTATAGTTCATTTAAATTTTTTATAGTATTTTTATTTCAAAAAATAATAAGTTTTAATAATATTATTTATATATAATAAATAATAATGCAAAATTATTTTTCCACAATATATATTTTTTATCATTATGAGTTTTAGTACATTAATTTGTTTCCATGCATTAATTTTTAATAATAAATTTATATGTTCAGTATGTATGTTTCATTTTAGAATAACACAAATTACATGTCTGTTATCCGTTTTTATTTTAAAATTAATATAAGGTGCTTAGAAGATGAGTTTTTTATACAAGTCAAAATACCTATTTATTATGATTTTTTTTTAATAAAAGAAAATCTAATTAGATAAGAATATATATATAGAAAATAAATAATTTAGTTTTTCTAATTATACAAGGAAATATATAAAAATCTATAAATAATTTAGTCTATTTAGACAATTTAAATTACTTAATTATTATGAGTTTTTTTTAAAAAAAAAGTAAATCTAATTAGTTAAGGAAGTATATAAAAAAACATAAATAAATAATTTAGTCTTTCTAATGAGACAATGAAATATATAAAAATATATAAATAATTTAGTCTATTTAGTCTACACATCTTTTCTACTTTTATAAATAATATATAAATAATTTTTTAATATATAAATGAATAAATATCCATTTTTTATTTTAAAATTAATATAATGTGTTTAGAAGAGTTTCGATAAGACTCATATTACCTATTTATTATGAGTTTTTTAAATAAAAGGAAATCTAACTAGATAAGGAAGTATATAAAGAAAATAAATAATTTAGTCTTTCTAATTAGACAAGAAAATACGTAAAAAAATATAAATAATTTAGCCTATTTATAAAACTCAAATTACCTATTTATTATGAGGTTTTTTTTTTTAATAAAAGTAAATCTAATTAGTTAAGGAAATATATAAAGAAAATAAATAATTTAGTCTCTCTATTTAAACAAGGAAATATATAAAAACTATAAATAATTTAGTCTATATAGTCTCCATATATTTTATAATTTTATAAATAATATATAAATAATTTTCTAATATATAAATAAATAAAATATTAATAAATTGTAATAAAACATAGTTTTGATTTTGATATTATTTTAGGAGTTTGAAAATACATCTATCAATAATTAAATTTCTATTGTAAAGTTCAATTAAAAATTATATTTTTATTTTACCTTGTGTCAATTTTATGTTAATGGATATTTTAGAATTTATAATTATTTAATTACTTTATTAAATATTGATTTTAAATTAAATTTTACTCACATGCAATAGTATATTATTTTTTAATAATAAATTTATATGTTCAGTATGTAAGTTTCCTTTTAGAATAACACAAATTATCTATTTATTATGAGTTTTTTTTTTTTAATAAAAGGAAATCTAATTAGATTAGGGAATATATATAGAAAATAAATAATTTAGTCTTTCTAATTAGACAAGAAAATATATAAAGGAACTATATGAAAAAATATAAATAATTTAGCCTATTTAGTCTTCCCATCTTTTCTAATTTTATAAATAATATATAAATAAGTAAAATATTAGTAGATTGTAATAAAAAATAGTCTTGATTTTGATATGGTTTTATGAGTTTGAAAATGCACCTATCAATAATTGAATTCCTATTATAAAGTTCAATTTAAAATTATATATTTCTGTCAATTTTATGTTTTAAATTTTATAATTATTTAATTAATATTTTAAAATTAATTTTAAGTGCAACTCACGTACAGTTTTACTGTTTTACTTGTATATATATAATTATTGTTTTACTAGTGTATATATATATATATAAGTGTCTGAGAAAGATCCTTTAAAGTACTTTAAATCTCAGTTTCATCTCCACCGCAACCATCAAAGGCACCACTGCAATTGCCACCATGAGTGATAGCATCACTATTTTGAATTTGTCTCATCCACTACTGTTTTTTTCCCCATAAAAATGAAAAATATTAAATTTTACTCACCACTTGCTATACGGATCATCATCAAACCGACGTCTCTTTAAATCATATGAATTTTAAGGCACATGAAGTTCCAAATGGTCAAGTGCTTTTATTCTAATCCGAACACTTCCTACAACTTTTATTTTTTGTGGGCTGGAATACCCAAATGAGAATTGTTATAAATTGAAAACCTCTTCCATTCTACTACAATCAGCACCAACAATATCAGGTTATGTAAGAATAAAATAAAAAATATAACTGATTTAATGAAATTATATATACGTATATAACACACTGTGGCAGAGTCAGAGGGGTCGGCAATGTTGAAAAATGAGAATGTATGTAATAGAAAAACTTAAACAAATTAATATAAGCAAAAACTTAAATATTGATAGATAATAAATTACAAATACATTTATAATGTTCTAGAAATTGTATCTCATTACAGCAATATATTAAGGAAATTCTACTCTCGTTTTTTCGGCTTTCTCTGAAGGAAATTTCAATTTTGCAAAAGGATCAACAATTGGTTAAGAGGGATTAGGATTTCTTGTGCATTAGCTTAGGGTCAATAATTTGACTAAAAGCTACAAAAAGATGAACTTGCTTTGAATTGTGGAGAGAGATTTGTAGATGTTTTTCAAGATAGGAAATCTGAAACCGAGAAAAGAAACAATTTGAAACGAAAAAAAAAATGACAAAGAATTCACATCCTACAAACAAATTGGACATCTTGAGAAGATATTCAATAATTCAAGTATATAATTACTATGCTCCTCAATCAAAATACACTATTCAATTAAATAGGTCACACTCTAAGTATTTAAATTTATCTCAACTAACAGAATTGTTATATTTTGATTGGTCAAACATAACTTATCCAATATATATCTACCCAACCCAAACAAAATTACTAGATGTCGAAAAAAAGAAAAAAAAAAAAAAAAAAAAAAAAAAAAGAAGGCAGCAGTCAATACCTTATTTACTGATTTAGCGAATATGGTCATCGTGGTTTCTCCCTCTTCTTAACTTGTTTCTGCATCATTATTATCCTCCACTGCTACTCCCTGAATTAAACAGAAGGTGAACGAATTAAATGAAAGCATTGGCTAAGTAAAGTCTTCCAGTAAGGACAAAGGCAAATGTTCGTAGTTACCTTTCCTTTCGGAAATTGTTGCACATGATTATTAAGGTCACTTACACGACTAAACTTCCAATCTTTGTATACTAGTATATCCGGTGTGCTTAAGTATCCAGACGTGAAAGTCTTCAATTCCGGACACACGTTTATATCAACACGCGTCAAAGATGGGAATTTAAAAGCATTGTTTGCCTGACAAAAACATGTGAGGTTTGGTAGATATGAAAGTATCAGATGCCCTAGCTGAGAGAACTCAATTTCATCCGTGGCATTTTCTCCTCCTCCTCCTCCTTGGTTTTTAAGTATTTCTTCCATCACACCACAATTTTGAATTCTTAGATCCCTGAGTTGTGCGAGACTTTTTGCCATTGAGAGTGAGAATAGACACTTCAGTCCCAATTTTTCTACTGTCAATTTTGTTAGGTTGTGAAATACCAGATGCCCCTGGGGTTCCATTATCCAATTACGCTCCAATTTAGGTAAATCCACCAGTGTCAATTGAGTAGTCTCAAACCGCTGTAGCAGGGTATAAACATTTACTAAGTTTCTGCAGTTGTGCACCTCCAGGGATTTTGGTACTTTGCAAAAGGGAAGGACATGGCATGTACCTTCGAAGATGCTCTCATCACTCAGTATCAATCTATCCAAGATAGGAAATTCAACCTGCGCGCAGAAATCACTCACCGTATTTATCTCCACAATATTTTGATTAAAAAAAATAAAGCAAACCAAGCAATAATGAACCTTCTAATTTTCTGTTCTAATTCCATTTTTATGCTCTACAAATTCATCAATTTCTTCTCAAATTATAGATATATAACTGCATATTAGGTTGTTGGAAAGAAACCCCCCTATCCTGCTCGCAGCTAGTGGCATTCATTTGAGGCTCTATCTGGTTTTGATTTTTGAGGCTCTGGTATATAAATAGATGGATTTAAATTGGTTTGCAAATTTTCAAATAACACCAGAGAAAATTGGAATAATAGTTTCCTCATAACTGTAATAGGAATTAATGAACTTACCATTTCATTTGGCAATGGTTGTAAGGGGGCATCTACCGTATTTAGCTCCACAGAATTCAGGTTCCGCAATGGTTCAGTACTGTTCAGGTATCGGCAAGGAAACATTGCAAATTTGGGACAGCGTTCAACTTTTATTTTTATTACGGATGGTTTAACATTTTTTAAGGAAAAGTTTATTACTGATTTCAAGGACATGTGGATGCAATAACAAAAAGCCACCAAAACACAACATTCATTAACTGATTAAGCGAAAAGATATGAAATCAAAAGGCTCAGTGAAAATCTAATTGAAATTCATTAACATTTTTTAAGGAAAAATAGATCAAGGTCAAAAAAAGGTTAGTTAGAATAGATGTTAGGCTTACTAGAATGGAATAATTCAATTGAAATGAAAAGATATGAAATCAAGAACGCTTTTAGTTTATTGTACTTCAAAATTTTATGGGTTGATGCTTTAAGATTATTGCACTTAACATATTTATTAATGTTGATGATCTGAAATCACATTTTAAAAAAGAAATACTATACTTCAAAAAAACTGTCAATAGTGTTGTGTTGATGATCTGAAATCACATTTTAATAAAGAAATATTGTACTTCAAAAACTGTCATAGTGTTGATGGTTTTTGTTTATTGAAAGAATTTGTAGATAACAAGTTTCACCAAAACACACGATTAGAAAAAGCTTGCACAATTGAAGGATTTAAATACATAATTATATTGTTTTAAGAAAAACAAATGAAATTCATAATTTAATTAAAATTGCACAAAAAAGTGTATCAAGATAATAAAACCAGCCATCCAAATTATATTACGAGGAGGTAATTTTGCAATTTTTTTTTTTTTTTTTTTTCTATTTTTAGTAATTTTGAGAGTTAAATTTTAAATTTCCTTATGCTGATAGATTTATGATAAGTTCTCTCTATTATAAACATTAAAATGTTTTTTCATTTATCAACAATATATTAGTATTAGATTGCTTTGCAAGATGAGATTTTGACAAGTGGGTAATGTGGCGCTTTGCCCGCACGGCAGAGCTAAAAATGATATAAAAAATAAATAAATAAAAAATTTGTTGAAGATGGTTAATGTCATGAACAAAAAAGGTGCCCATTGAACTTTGTTCTCTATTCTCGGGTCAAAGACGTAGGAAAGTGAAGTTACACAAAAATAATAATAATAATAATAAATAAATAAATTATTATTAATTGAAAAAGACACTTTAGACCACTTTATACAAAATAATGTCAAGATCCATTTGATAAGAGTTTGTAAATTAAATAGTTATTTTATTACATTTTAATATATGTTAGTTTTCAAGTAGGAATAATTTGATCTGGAGAATTCATTCAATCTCAGGTATGTTTCTAATATTTTCGTTCATATATTCTACTTGATTTGTTCTAGGAATCCGAAATTTTTTTAAAAAAATATTGGTTTGGATATTCAAACGTTTCAATTCATCTTATTTCATCAAATTTCGGATCTGGAAAATTCAGTACCAATCAACCCCAAATTGTCTAACCAAATTCAATTCTCATAATTAATATATATATATATATAGAGATTCTAACCAAACTTATGTTTTTCACTTTGAACGGTGAAGGTAGAATAGATAGATATTAATAAATTTCAATGCTTGTCTAGTTATGATGAGCATGTTTTGTTTACGATCATTTTGATCATGAATGTTTTGTCATTTCAAAGTTAGCAAATACTTGCCATTTGCACCTCTAGACCAAATTCTGCCTTACCTTCTGAGGAGAGCTGAAGAGAACAAGGACTCTTGTCTGCTTCAACCATTGACGGACAACTCAAAAGGTAATTTACTTAGTAAATGACACAAGAAGAGTCAAGATTGATTAGCTGGTTGACTCAGTGTTATGAACAATTGATTAATAAATATATCACAAGTTTCAAGTGTCTTCATATGACGACGTATTTGATCTTCCTTTTGAAAGAAAAACGATTAGTGTGGAATGTGGATAGATAATGCGGAGCGTACCTTATCATTAAACAGTTGTGCAAGGCCGGACACATTGCATTCTTCAGCTGACGTCTTCTTCGTATTGGCATTGAAGCTTCTCAGTTTTGGTAGATACTCCAACCTCATATTCTTTAATTGATGAAAAGTAAAAACATTATTCATGATTTCATTAATTGTCATCTCCAACTATTTCTTCCAAGTTTTCACAGTTCCATATCTTTAATTCTTGGAGTTGCAGAAGGCCTCTTGCTGCGGCTGCGGAGAAGAGATATCTCGACGGACACTTGAATACTTGTAAAATACTTAATTTACTAAAAGAACAAGACACACGTGATCCGATGGTCTGTGAATTCCAATTTGGTCTGCCAAATAAATGTTCTATCCCCTCACAATACTCAACTCCAAGAAACTTCAAGTCTAGAAACCCCTCTCCATCTCTGTCCTGACTCACATTCTTTAAAATTTCCAGTCCTTCTAAACATAGCACTTCAGCTTTCTCCATCAAAATGTGAAGCTCCCTCTTCAAAGGAATTCCCTTTAGTTTCAATATCTTTGTTGCAGTTGCCAAATTTTTTCTAGATGAAGTGCGGTCAAAAGCAATAAAAGTGTAATCCCTGGCCAATGGATATTTGAAATCTGATTAACGACTTAGACAGGAGGTCATTGATGGGCAGTAACTTGACATTTGGCACATCAACTTGTAAACTGATTAAGCGAGTCAATGAATTTAGTTCAACCAGGCTTGCATTGCCTTCAATCTCCCATTGTCTAAAGTTTGTAACTTGAAATTCCTCAAGGTGGGATAGACTTGATATGACACCTGGAAGGATTTGGAGATTGACAAAGCCTATCACATTCAAAGAGCGCAGACTAGACGACTTTCCTATATCCAGAGTCATTCCTATATCCACATTAGAAAAATTTAGAATGCTTAGTATCTCAGGTTTTTGTAACTCCTTGAGAAAAGCTAGGTTCACCAATTTGCAGTAGTGTAGCCGTAACATCCGAAGATTTTGAAGTGACGATATTGGTACTGTCGAGATGCACATGCCACGCAAATGTAAAACTTCAAGCTTCTTCATCCCTTCAAGAAAGCTACTCGGAACTTTTGATAAACCACCGACGCATTCCAGCATTAACGTGCGCAGTTCCGGACATTCTGAATGAACGGGAAGCACAAAATCCTTGTTGAACCTTAATGAGATTCCTCTGCATCTTTTACTTTCATCCTCCTCCGGCCACTTTTCCACACCTACTTTCACTAGATACATGACATCTTCTTTTGATGAAATTGATATAGCCACATCTCGAATGACATCGTGCATTTTCAAGAAGTTTTTGTTTCTACCTTCTAATAGCAGAGAATATCTCTTGAGGGTATCGACAATTGTATGAGCTCTATTCCTAGCTGTTTTCATTGTATCCACGCATCGGAGAAGCCTCATTCCAAATCCATAGCTCACCAAGTCATCTATAGAAATATCAGCATCTTCTCCGAACAAACAACAAAGCAAAAAAATTAACTTCGCATCAACAAGCTCTAGATAGTTGTAGCTTAACGCTATGGGTGAATAGAGTTTTGCTGACATACCTTCAATGTTCTCTCCCGTGGAATTTCTCAAATGTTCAAGTGCATCTTCCCATATATGCTTAGTCTTATTCTTTAATGCTCCTCCAACTGCAAGTATTGCCAAAGGGCAAACATGCACATTCTTTACACACCACTTCCACTACAAGACGCATATCATGAGGTTTGATAGAATCTCCCACCTTCTTCTCGAATAGGGACCATGCTTCATCTTCCGATAAGAGTCTAATTTGAAAATTTTCATTTTCAGGAACCCCCATATCTTTACACACATCTTGATGCTGAGAGGTGAATAAAATTTTGCAACCCTTGACATGATCATTGGTAACCGGAAATCCTATATCCTCCACCTTAATTTTATCATTCCAAATATCATCGATCATTACAAGGATCTTCTTACCACCTTTTAATCTATTGAGTAGTAGACCCTTCCTCGCTTCTTCAGATTCTTTATCTAATGTCAAATTCAAACCTTCTGCAAGTTTCTGTTGAATTTCTTTCAGATTTGGATTCTGGGTGAAAACTATCGCAGCAATCTCATCAAAAAGCTGATCTTTATCAGCTTGTTGGGCAACTTCCTTCATCATCCTTGTTTTTCTAACACCTGGGATTCTATGTATCCCAATCTTGTAATTCCGACCATCTTTAAGTGCCTTCATGATCTTCTCAAAAACCAACTCCCTGGATTGAAAATTCTTACGCTGTATGTTTTGTGCCAAATACCAGTGAGAGGAGGTCGGTGTCCAACGGAGTCAAAATTGCCAGCCTCTATAAGCTTGGTAACATGAGGCTGCTTCTTTTTTCCTTCCTTACCCAACTGGTACCGCGAGCATACATCAATACACTTGAGATTTTCTGTGCCTTGCTGTAATCTGTTGCTGACTTCTTCCATCGTATGCAAGGAGCTCTGCACTTCGGTCAGCCACCTCGAAACATTATCCTCAACGACTTCAGCATTGTTCAATGCTGCATCCACCCTTGTTTGGACACTTGTCATTGCGTCTCTGAGTTTATTAACTTCATCTTCGAAATCTTTAATGTTTTCCTTGTAGTGGAACAAATAACCAAATTGACGCCTGATGATTTTGTACAAGCTGTCTCTGATCGGCTCCAACATCGTTCCCACAATATTACTAGCAATATTGTCGGCCATTTTGAATTCACAAGCAACTTTCAATTTGTTTCTTTTTCTTCTCTCTCTAAGGAGACGATGCAATACAGAATTGCCAACAGAAATTCAGAAAGCTTACGAACTGTTTCTTAGATAAGGAAAAAGCTAAGAAATTAATGGAAGAGACTTCAAAACAAACAAGAGTGGATGTGTTTTTGTTTTTGTTTTGTTTTTCAATAACGAGAAAGCTAAGAAATTAAAGAAAGAGACTTCAAGACAAATACACACAGTTTGATTTTGAATGGCAAACAAAAGTGAAGATTTTTTTATTTTATTTTTTTGGGGGGAAAGAAAAGTAAAGATTCACAAGAGAGACACAAATTCAGGTCTAAGAGAGAGCCTAATTCACATTTAACACAAAAACTAAGAGAGAGACAGAGTAAGTGAGGGAAAATCAGAAGCATGTAAGAGAGCAAAATACAAAGCAGGAAATGGGAGCACCAGAAAAACAGAGAGGTTAAAAAGAGTTGTTGAGGAAACTAAAGAAGAAAATTAAACACATACCTCTGGCATATTCCAAGTCTGATCCGAGACAAATAAAATAGAAGAACGGAAAGTGAAGATTCAGAAGATGTCAGACAGTGAGATTGAGGGATTGCAGATTCTGAGAGAGAGATGCAAATTCAGATGGTAGAGAGAGAGAATAGAGATTGAGGGATTGCAGATTGAGAGAGAGGGAGAGATGCAAATTCAGATGGTAGAGAGAGAGAGGGAGAGAGTCATCATAAGGTAAAGTAAATTATGTCAAAGAAAAAAGGTAACACGCTTTTCGTGTCAGTTATCGTGGCACTGGATCACAGGCCACTGCATCATAGAAATTGTACTAAAGCCTTGGTAACTCTATGTGACCAAGATAATACAGATTTTAACTAAAACAAATAATAATAAAAATCCTTTTAATGTCAGTTTTTAGATATTGGAATATTGGATCATGTAAATACATGAATTTAAAAGAAATTCTTCGAAATATAATTTAGGTTTTGTTTATAAAATGGCAAAGTCAGAGCATACTAGCTTCGATGGAAAATTAGGATAAATAGAAACCGTATTAGAATAAGCAAAAGTGAATCTTCACCATTTCCCACTATAAGAGGAGCTTCTGAAATTACATAATTTTGGTTTGTTTTTGTTGCCCTTTTTATTTATTTATTTATTTTAGTACCCTTTTTAGTGTTGTCAAAAGAGAATTTATTCTAGAGGTGTAACTTTTTCTTTTTTTTTTTTTTTAAGGTAACGCCAAAACAAATAATTTTTTTTATATATTCATGTGGAATAATATGGGTGGTAAATTTTGACACAACCAGTCAACACTACACGAGTTAAACGGGTGGCAAATTTTGACACAACTAGTCAACACTACACGAGTTAAACGGGTTTGGGTCATAAACAGATCGACACGATCAACCCGTTTAACTAATTATATCGTGTTTCTATTAAGGTAATTCAACCTGTTTATACCCGTTTAACTATACATCTCATAAATAAAATTATATTTAAATTCGAAAAATAAGTATCTAAACTTTTGTCTTTTAATTTACTCTTTTATAAATTAGAGACTATTTAGTAATTTGATTGGATTGAAACTTATAATTTTCTATTATTTATTTTTAATTAATTATTATTATTAATTTAAATTATATATATATATATATATATATATATATATTATTTCAGTAAATAGGTCATTAAAAGGGTTATACGTATAATCCGTTGATTAAACAAGTTGGGTTAGGATTGATGGTTTCTGACACGGATATTAAATGAGTCATGTTCAGATTAAACTATTTATTAAAATACTCTTTCATCAACACGACACAATTATGACCCGCGACCACGTATTGCCAAACTTAGAAGAGACGGATTGGGTGTGAATGCATGGACAAATTTTCTTTAGGCTCAGTTTGTGTAATAGCCCTAGTTTTCAAAATGATAAGATTGAAATTTAAATTTGTTTCTATGTGTCAAATTGTTTATTGAATAGTGATTTATTTTGTTTTACTTAAATGAATTATTTTTTTTATTGTTTGTGTTTGTTTGAATTAATTAATTTATTTAAATTTGATTTTGCTTTTCTGTAGTTACATTAATTGTGTTTATGGACTTAGTGGGGGTATCACAGTTTGGTAGAGTAGAAATGGGAGGAAAAGAAAAGAAAGGTTATGGAGAGTGATAAAAAAACGTGTTTGGGGCTGAAAGTTGGAAGGAAAGGAAAGGGAATGGAAGGTTTTGGAGGGATAGAAATAGGTTTAACAGTAAGTTTTGTAATCCTCCCAAAAATGGGAGGAAATGGAAAGAAAGGGAATGAGAGGCTTGGTGTGTGATTTCTGGTGCCAAATTTGCCCTTGATTACAGGTAAATTTAGTTTGCAAAACAAGAATTACAAACCTTGATTAGTTGATTTAGAAAAAAATAAAATAAAATAAAACCCATACGTACAAGTTAGCAGTTGCAAAGAGAGAGGGGGGCAAGCTTGAGAGTTGACTGACAAAGGGCCAACGACTGAAGCTTGCGAACGGCAATAAACAGCGGGTGATGGAAACTGAAAGATACGGGTTTTGATTTTTTGAACAATCTAAAATGATATGCCGATATAGGTTTTGAACTTTTGATTCGTGCAAACAGATATATAAACTGAAATATATGGGTTTTGAACTTCTGATTCTTATAGTTTGCAGTTGCAGAGAGAGTGAGAGAGAGATGGCAAGTTCAGAGTCGACAACGAGATGGAGGCTGAAATAATTTGCCCTAAAAATATTTTCTTTCTTTTCTGGTGGCCCATCAGTTTTGGGCCTTAACAGGAGACAATATATATATATATATATATATATATATATATATATATATATATATATATATTTAAAATATTAAAGAGTATAATAATAATTTTATGAAAATAATTTTCTTTCCTTTTCTTTCCTACCTCTTTCTGAACATGATTATTACCCTTCCTTTTATTTTCTTTCATTAATCAACCCGACACGGTAGGGGATTAAAATTATTTTTTCCTTCCCTTCCCTTCCCCCATAATTAATGTTATCATTTCCCTTCAAACCCGCTGCACAACTTAGCCGTAGTGTTGCCGAAAGAGAGAATGATTACAAACGACAAAGAAAGAAAAAGGAAAAGGAAAAGACAAAACAAAGTGATTTTCATGTCACTGCATTATTAAAGAAAAATGGCCGAATCGGTGTGGATGCATTGACAAATTAGAAAAAGCTATTGCTAATGTAGTTTTCATGAAAATGTCCCGAGACAATGGTAACAAATTAGAAAAAGGCAAATACAAGAAGAAAAATGGCCGAATTGGTGTGGATGTATTGACAAATTAGGAAAAGCTATTGCTAATGCAGCTTTCATGAAAATGTCCCAAGACAATGGTAACAAATTAGAAAAAGGCAAATACAAGAAGAAAACTAGTAAAACAAAAATGCTAGGAGTTTGGCTTGTAATATATAAAGTAAAGAATAAAATAATATTTTTTTAAAAAATGCAATAAAGTTACAAATAGGTACTATCCAATACAATATTAGTCCCTTACAAAAAAATAGAAGACTCATCATAAATCATAATTTTATGTTCGAATGAATAAATCATAACTGATTTAAAGTGCTTCTTTAAAAACTTCGATCACAAAAAAAATATTTCCGATTGCTTTAATTATGTTTTTATTAGAAATTAAATATTGAAATTTTACTCAAATATTTTAACAAAATAGAATGTTGAGTACAATGTTCAACAAAGTTCACTTGCAAAATATGCAACTACAAAAAATTAAAATAAAATATATAAAATTGTCCCAATGTGCAAGTCTATGTACTTATGCTTATACTGAAAAGAAAAATGCTTCACTCTTTCATAATTACCTTTTGACACAGCTTACTAATAATATAATCATTTAAATTTAAACAAGTACCATGCCAAGTTTAAAAAGACTAGAAAGTTAAAGTCGGACACATATGATTAAATTAACATGAATAAAAGATAACATTATAATAACCTCATAATATTTAATGACGTCATAGTGATATCATTCTCAACCACTCCAGATACATTTAATCATTATTCTTTTAAAGAGAGACAATACATTTATTTATTTCATCTCTCACAAAAAGTTATAATATCATAATTGGTCTCCAAATTCAGTCTATGTTCTATATAAAAGATACTATTATTTATTATACTATTGTTTATTTATTTATTTAATAGAAATAATCTATGTTAGGAAAACACTGGATGGGCACATTAAAATTAAAATTTTAAAAAATTAAATTAAAATTTCTTTATTCTAATTTTAAGATCCGATTTTAGGATGGCAAATGGAATAATGAAATATTGAGATGAATGATTGAGGTGAGATATTTTAGATGAGTATGAGAGAGAGAGAGAGAGAGAGAGAGAGTGAGTGTGTAGTATGATTATAACCGACAAAAGAAGGACAAAACAAATGAACTCGATTGGTGGATTTGCTTTTGCATCAATGGTCTCCGCACAATTTGGATCTCCAATAGCTGGATACTCTCCTCCATTTTCTTTAATTTTTTTTAAATTAATTACCTTTTGTTTTTACCCGCATTAAATAATATATATATATATACTTTTGCTAGAATATTAGATATAAAATTTAAATTCAAACTTTCATATATGTATTTATACAAAATTAGAAATAAAATTTGAATAAAATGAATGACAATACATTTTATTATTTTTTATAAAATAATTAATTTTTCTTTTATTAAAAGCGTGTATTAAACACAAGAATTTTTTAGTTGAATTTAAATTACATTAATAATTATTTAAACTCATAATACAATATAATTAAGCAACTGAAATTTAAACAAATATATATAAAAGAGATGATACAGTCACAAGTCCCCCATCTGTGTCAGTTTTTTTGGATTTGCTTTTGCATTATTGGTCTCCACACAATTTGGATCTCTAATTGTAAAGGTTGCACATAGTAAAGAGAAATTTGACCTCTTTCAAGTTTACACTCTCATTAAAATTGATTCAATAATTCTACGAAGATTTTAATGTGAAAAAGTGTGAAATTTTTTTAGTAAATGATGTTGGCGTCCACTGTCAGTGTCTTAAAATACTCTATAATAATTTTTTTGCCTAGTTAAAAATACTCCATAATTTATTTATGAGCATATGAAAGCCTTTTATTTTACGTGCATCAAAAAAATCATTTGAGAGTAGCTCAGAAAAATTCAAAATTTTAGCGTTCAAATTATCATGTGTAAACCTTAAAATTAGAAAAGAAGTTATAACACGTTATCCAAGTAGTGTGTGTGTGTATATATATATTTATGCTTAGAGAGTCCCTTTACAATGAAACTTAGTGGAAAGATGAAGACACAAAAGATTTTTAAATCTTCTAATTTATTATTATTATTATTATTATTATTTGTATTTGACACTTTTCTTATGCTCTTTTGGTTAGATGAAAATAGCAAGAAAATAAAGAAAATGAAAAATGAAAAGAAAAGTGAAGTAAATGAATTTTTTTATTTTTTTATTTTTTAGTATGTATTTGGTTAGATGAGAATTTATTTTAAGAAAATTGTAGGAAAATATTATGTTATAGTTTAGATACCTAAATTGTCTTTATTTTATAAAAATGATAAAACAATAAAATATTAATTCATAGTATGTATATAAAAAAATGATAGAATATTTAATTAATTTAAACCTTGTAAACTACTATTTATTTCATTCATATATGATACAAAATAATTAAAATCCTATCACTGATAAAGTTTTAATTGGACTACAATACTTTGAAACTT